GTAGGAAATTAATTTTTTGGTGAACTCTAAAATTTGATCACCAAAACCTAATCTCTTTTCATGTGTTTATGTTTACAAAGAGCATGATTATCTACAAAATAAAATTACAAAATAAAAATAATGCTAGAAACGAAATAATTAATGCACGAACTTTGTAAAGAGCATGATTATTTATAAAATTAGAAAATGCTAGGAAGGAGTGTAGCGGATCCCCGAGCGCCTCCGTATCACAAATGGTGAACGGAGTCACAAGAGGCCCGCTAACATTTTTGAAGACGTTAAATCTGACGGTGAAACAACATAGACGTCAGAACGAGGATATGTATGATATATGCTGATTTATTCTAGATTTTTGCTGACTACTTTTTGGTAATTTTTCTTCGGCAGATCGCACACAAAACACGAACTCTTTTTCGAGGTAGCTCTTGTATCAAAGTTTCGTTTCAAGGCCCTAGCGCCGGTCCTGATCGGTCGAGATAGGAACAACACTTGTCTGAATTCAAAGTCTGAGTCTGCAGAAGGAGCTTGTAATAGACAACGCCCTGCCAATTCCATCAGACACGCATTATCACCTGCTTCGGATGCGGACCGGCTTTTGAAGTGGTTGACAGTGACTCATTTCGTTTTCACTGAACATTGGTATAAACAATCTCTTTGTTTCAATTCCCGTAATCGTTCTTTTAAAAAAATAGGTCGTCTTTATTGCGTTTGAGCAGATAATCGCAGATGGAAATGGAGTCCATATTGTATCATTTAAATACATTGTAGCAGTTTACATATCTAAGTGTTCTCAAACGTCTTACAATGCAGAACGTTCTCAGCCTTCCAGATCAAGATTTCCACTTCTGAACCTAGCCAACCACTTACAAAGACTACTCTCAGCTATGACACTATCTTCATAAACGGCAGATATTTGCTTTTGCTGTTTGTACAGGGATTTTGTTTTTTTAACTTTCCGAAAACAGAGTATCAAATAACAAAAGTCCATTTACTTTATTTTCATTTTTAACTTAAATTTTCACTGTTAAAATTCAGTCCACACATGAATCGTGTAGAAAGACACGTTGAAATGTCATCTTTCAGAGTGTCTCTTGTCATATCGGTCATAAATTTCAGTCATATGTGAAAAGAAATCACGCGTTCAAATGCCACTTATAAAAAAAAAAACCTGAACTTTTGTTTCAAGTCAATCTTTTGGAATTAGATTTTGTATTTAATACAAAATGTTTATAATTTTGATGCCAAAAACTAAAACAGCGTAAAGTTTGTTGTTTTAGCATTTTGTCATCAAAATTTATAGGCATTTCAAAATTATTGGTAAGCTCTATTTGCATTTGCTTAACTGCTTGTAATATTTTAATTTCACTTTAATATCTTTATACAGATCAATAGTTCATTTTGTGACTGAAATTCATTTACCCAAAATTTTGATCTTTATAAATAAGATGTAACTGTGGAGATTGTGTTAATGGATTAAATTATATTGATCAAACATTGTTGAGTAAATTAGGCTGCGTGATGAAATTAACAATTTCCTCTCACATTAAATTTCAGTATTCAACAAACATAGAATAAGGACAACATGAGAAACAACAGTTTTTGCACAACAATGAATAAAATATTTATATAAACAAGAGATGCAAAAACAACTGGAGTAAAGAGGTGGTTTTAAAAAGTTCAAACGTCCTTTTATGTTTAGATGAAAGGTTATCAAAGTTCTGGTTTGATAGATTATAATTTGTTGAATGGTCTGTACTGTAGAAAGTGTGTTTGGGTATTCATAGTAATTTAAGAAAAAAATAAACAGTTCAAGTTTGTATTTGAAATAGAGAAATATTGTTTACGACTTACTTTAAGGTTTACGGAATTGTTGCTCTTTGATTTGTTTTCACTTGTTCGAAGAGAATATTCTAGTTGGGGTAAGTTATTCTTAACAAGTTGTGTTTATGTTAATTGCAATAATTAACGTTGAGCTTGAAAGCGTATGAAAAAGATTCGTGTATTAATTTAAATGTGGAAAACTTGAGTTGATTGTTCGTCATAAAATATTGCTGTGTGAATGAGTGTTCTCTCAGGCTGGAATCATGTTAAGGAACTTTAAAGTAAAGCCTGGAACTGTGTGACGAGTTCAAAGGATTCCGATCGGCGCACTGTCGAAGATGAAAGACATTTCATATTTTATTGCTAATTTTGGTCACGTGATAGGCTCACAGAAGCTTGATAGATTTTGGCGGAATTATCTTTTTGATTAGGTCAAGAACTAGGTCGATGCTATTAAATATTAAGTGACCAATTAGAAGTTGAGGTTTTCTGAAAATATACATTAATCTGAATAAGCTCGTTGATCCACTTTTTGTACGAAAATTGATACTGATAAAAAAGGTAGTAGCGGGATGCTAAATAACTACTAAACTCTCACTTAAAAAAACTTTTTTCTTTCTTTTTTTCTTTTCATCGTGTATTTGACTGTGTCAATAATTTGTTTTCTTTTCTTTTTCAGGGTATATTTGATAGTGTCAATAAATCTAATGATTCTTACATCTCACTCGAGGAATGGCTAGATTCCTTGGACAGGAAATCCCTCAAGTATGTTTTGATTTTAATTTCAAATGTACTTTGTTTCCATTGCTTATATATCATAATACTTAAATATTTCAATTCGTTAATGTCATTATTGGTCTTGTTTACAAATTCATGTTTAACGTTTTACTCATTGTTTACAGAATTTAGGAATAGAACTTCCGGGATAAACTTGAACTTTAAATCAGATTAACAGTAACTTAAAAATATTTTTTTATATGCCAAAAAATATTCTAAAATCATTTTCACTTGAAAATATTTTTTAAATATGCCAAAAATATATTTTAAATATTTAAAATATTGTTAGTTTAAACTAAAGAAAGCTGAAATATAAATAATTACTCGACAAACAAATGGACGATACGAAAAGCCAAAACTGGTTTTCTTTGCGTTTGCCTTTAACTTAAAAATATTTTAATTAAAAAAAAATTGTCTGAAGAAAGTTAAAATAAAAATACTTACTCTATAAACAACTCGTATTTTTAAATCTGATTCACTTAAATCAGATTAACTTAAATCATTATACGCTGGGCGGACGCACCACATAAGCATGTAAACACGCACGTAGTCACAGACTTTTATTATTAGATGGATAGATTGACTTGAGTGTCAAAAGTTTAGATTAAATGAGCAGTTGAGTAAAAAAACGGATTCTGAAATTTTTCACATACTGAGCATCAGGTTCAAAAATTTCATTAATATTCACTGTGTCTATTTAATATACAAATGCTCTAATTTAAATTTATAACTGTATGTATGCTAGTGTATAGATATAATCTACACATGAATACAGAAATGAGATTTATTTTGTGAAAAGGTTCAGTACTAAGTCGATAATTAATAAAAGATATATTCGAAAAGCTTGATATTTTGTTAAAAATCAACCAGAATATAAAAAATTTCCTCTTCTAAGGCATATGACTAATTAATTAGCAATTGAATATCAAAGCATAAACAAACATTAAACGTGTGGCTGGGCAATTTTAAAAAGTATAGTTTTCCTTTTTACTGTGCAACAAATAAATTTGGTTTTAAGATTAAACACATTAAAAATATAAATAAAAATTTTCTAATCAATTTTGTACTTAGTATTTTTTTAAAAAAATCTGTAAGCAGTCATAATTATGGAATTAGGTGTTTGGATCAAACTTTGGATGACCAAAAAAACAAAAAAATCATTATAAAAGTATTTTAAAATTTACATTGGAAATGTGTCATGATGTATGTTTGATTGTTTCTTGTTTGTTCTGAAGAACAGAAATTGTTTTCAATTCACTAAATAGACAATTGAGCATGGGCTTGACCAATTATAAATGTTAGTATTTTCACAGTTCTTACATCTAAATAGTTTACAGTCACAAATTCAATGATTAAGTTTTAATAGAAGATACTTTGATATAATTGATGCTTCAGCTAGCTTGATACTTTGTTCTTGGAGTCTAAAATCCAGATTATTTTAGATCTTTATTTTCTTGGGGCCAAAAATCATTTTTTTTACCAGTTATTACATTTCTTAGTTATTACACTTGAAATAAATTCATGGATATATTTGAATTTTTTAGATTACTTTTTTTCTTTAATAAAACAGTTGTTTTTGAATGTAAAAAAATTCAAATTTAATCATTTTTCTAAATTTTGAAAGTTTTTTTTATTTATTAATAAATATTTTAATTAAACAGTTTATATGAAAAGATTTTTTCAGTCAGTTATCTTAATGAATTTTAAATTAAATTTTTAAATTGATTTTTTACTTTAATAAATCAACATTATTTTAAAAACAATACATGTCTCATTGAAATAATTACAATAAAAATGTAAGTTAGTATCCCAGAGCTAATTTTAGTAAATATTGCAGCAACACCAGAGCATGTTGGTCAGTTGTTTGCCTGCCTAGATCCAAGTTGGATGTTTCAATTTTATTTCATTTGTTTGTTTTAGCCTGACAAAACCAATTAGCAAGTAAACAGAAACAAACAAGAAATAAGTTTTATATAAGATTTTTCAATTAGTCTAAGTACAAGTTAACTGCATAAAAATGACTGATTTTATTTTTAGATATTCTTTCTTTCACTTGTAAAACCATTTTTATGTTTTAATAATGTTCAAGTTAAACATAACAATTCATTAAGATCTTTCTTTTAATATTGCAGGGATGTTGGCAAGGAAGATCTGATGGCAGTCTTTAAAAGAGTCGATGTAAATGGCAATGGTACCATTAATTTTTCTGAACTGAAAAAGCTCCTTAAAAGTTTGAATTGCACTCTTCCTGATGAAGAGGTAAAAAAGTTTTTCGACCGTGTTGACAGCAGTGATGATGGTGCTATAGGTTTCAATGAATTTGCAGAAGAGTTTTTCAAAGATGTTTAAAGCAAAAGAATAGAAATTTTAAATCTAGTAACAAAATTCTGGCCAAAATTTCTTTTTTTTTTTAAGGTACATAATTGGAACATTTAATTAAATTCTAAAATCTTAAATTTTATATATTCTCTTAAATTTTAATAAATTAGTATTTTTTCTTAATGTTGAGTATATTTTTTCTATTTTAATGTTCTGCAACTAATATAAATGAATTCTATTTCTAACAAAATAAAGGCTTTCATTTTGCCAAACTCAGATCAAGCAAAATGTTCATGGACAAAATCTCCTCTTAATTTTTCCTACAGGAATGATTCAATGCAGTTGAAAATTTCAACTTAGGCCAATGTCTTAGAAGAAAGTATTTACAATCATTGTTTAATTTCTTAATGAGATCCATCATCACATATGGGACTGTTATGTTATCTGCATTACTAAGTTATATCTTTTTAATTTTTAAAAGTGAACTTTGTTTTAAAACAGAATAATCTGATAAAGATTTTACTGTTAAGGGAGAATACTTTAAAGTAAAAATTTATTTTAGTTAATGCTTTCATTTTCCAAAATTATTTTAGCTTTTTAAAAAGTTTGTTTCCATATATCAAATAGTGTATATTTTAAATAATGAGTTTATAATTTAGATGGTTTTGTAGTTTGATCAAAATTATTTAGGAAATGTTGGTACCTTGAACATTTGTCAGTGTATTTTTGATTTTATAATTCAAAATTTTTATTGTTATTTTTAATTTCCTTTTTGTTTTCCTACAAACCTTTGAATAAACATTTGATAAGATGATTGTTGTCTTCAGCTTCTCCTTCAAATAAAAATCTGAAAATGCTTCTCAATACTTCACAAGTTTTCATAAAGTGTGTGTGTGTGTGTGTGTGTGTGTGTGTGTGTGTGTGTGTGTGTGTGTGTGTGTGTGTGTGTGTGTGTGTGTGTGTGTGTGTGTGTGTGAGAGAGAAAGAGAGAGAGAGAAACATCCTGGGAAGGAGAGAGATTGGTAGAGAATTTTTAAAAATTCAGCTGGTGATGGTGGTTTTTATCAAGTGAACATGGGGTGATGCTAGTACATGTAGATGTATCTTCTCCTAGTACATGCCTGTTCAAGATTTCTTATAGAAGACCAGAAGTTAGACATACATCATGTCTCCCATCTCCATGTTACTGATGGTTGTCCAAAGGAAGAGCAGTGGCCAATATTTATTAGCATCAGGGGCATCAAAGGAGTTGCCAGAATGCAACATTGGACTACCACTGGAACTCTAATTTCAGATTTTATCTTCAGTGTTTACTCCCAAAGCTTTTTTCCATGATTGGATCTGGCTGCAAAGCAGCAGAGGTGTGATATCAGTTTTCCTCATAGCCTGCACTTAATTCCTAGGCAAATGAGTTCCATTTACCCAATTTAGACACTATACATTTTTGGCATATCATTTAAAAAGTGATGTTTTATTTTGTTTAAAGAAAATGTCCAAATATTTCATGTTTTAGTCCTCCAAATGTATTCTTAATATATCCATTAAAATGTAATGTTTTCAAAAAATCCTAATTATGATGTGCCTTAGCATCTGAAACATATTTTGAGTTTATCAATTAAAAATATCATGTTTCACTATTGTTTAAAAGAAAACATCTGATACTACATGTACCATGTACCCTGAATGCATCTTGAATCCATCCATTGAAAATAATTCCTTATTTGAAAGAAAATATCTGAATACTCTTGGTGCAATTCAATCACTCTGCATGAAAAAGTTTTCTTTTTGTTAATAAAAACGTTTTAATACTTTGTCTATCAATAGGTAATATCCTGCCAAATAGATTTTTTTTTTTAATATTGCTTTCAGATTTAGTTTCTCCCTTAAAAAAAAATATAAACTTGTGAATAATTAGATTGGTTTGGCAATCATTATATTACATGAAACATCCATAAATGGATATTTACTTCATACTTAGCTTTTTAGGAAAATGTTTGGGGGATAAATTAAGAGTGTTTCTGTACTGAGTAAAATGAACGTGAATCTCTTTAAAATCAGCATTTGAACTTCCCTTTTTTATCTTAATATCTTAAACCATCAAAGTATTTGTGCCATTGTTTTTCCCTGACATTGATAAAATATTAACATTTTGGCAATATTTAACATACGTGCCTTCAAAAAAAATATAAACTGTGTGAAAGGATGTTTTTTCTTCTATTGACACTGCTATTACTGTATACTCTCTCTGTGATGATCAGATATATATGTCTAAAGAAATAAGTCGAACCCGATTAACATTTGAATGAACCAAGCGCCATGACAAATGGATGGACGACGAGCCTGAGGTGAATCAGATTGACTAACCAAAGAATGAGCTAAGGGAGATAATGCGCTTTGTATTTTCTCAATACATCTCCGATTTTGAATTTATTCTGACCCTAAGCTTATGTGATTCTGTAACGTGCTGATTTGTTGATTTTAAGGCGACTTCTGGTCACACTTCTTTTAGCATCTGACTCAGTTGACAGTGACTTCTGTTAAGAAAAATGCGACCAAGTTCAGTAACTCGGCTATTTATCTCCCCTACATTTTACTTTTTCTGTAAATAAATACTCCTTTTCTGTAAGCACATGTATTATCTCCCTCTATCCATTTTACTAATTTACACACATTTTTCCCTTTATTTCACTTTTGATATGGTAAACTCTAGTTATGCATAAATATTTTATTACATATCAAACACACAAACTTAGCAGCAATATCAAGTAATAATAGACGCAAATCACAAATAAGACTCAACAACTGCGTAAAATATTAAAAGAAAAACATTTATTATACAATTACGAAAAAGGCACAAATACAAAGTTTTCACAAAAATTTCCTTTTGTGCGCCTATTATTAAGGAAGGATAACAATTTCTGATAAAAAGATTACCATCGAAAAATGGACAAAAATTACAGTTTGAGAAAAGAGAAGGATTTTGAAAAAGACAAAAAGAGAAAACAATACAAGAAGGTTGTTATAAAATAAAATAAGTCATATCTCGGCTGATTTACAGGCTAATAAACTAACATACTCAAGAGCGAGAGCCGGATGTGAACGCGACAAGGCCCTGTCACAAAATGACCATTATCTTCGTTTACGCGTGTTCCCGACGCACGAGTTCCGGTCGAGAAATAAACTAATATTTTACATGTTTCTATTTTTCGACCAATAAAAATGCTTCCCTCCTAATTATACTCGCGTCGTTTTACGAGCCTGTTAAGCCATAAAAAACGTCATAAAAGGGGTCACACGGGGAAGTACAACAGCAGTCAACAGGAGGCCAGGAAAGAGACCTGTCACGGTCAGTCAGCAGCTGTCAGCAGGTGGAGCGCCACGCCAACCAGTGTGAACTACTATGAGAGATCAACCCAGACCGGGAGCCGGCTTATGAACTATACCACAAGGTAGCTGTCCCAAACCCACACGTTCCTATTGAAATAAATCACGTGAATCTATTTCTGCTGTTGTCGTATTTCCTTCTTGCAACCATACGCTTGTCTATAACACTGGTGTCAGAAGCGTACAGCAAGAGAAATATGGACGACTACACGAGCTTCACCCGAGCCGAACTATTTACTCTCATCAAGGAACCGAAAACACTACTATTCAACTTGAAAATGGGACCAACACAGCCTTCCGAAGCCACGATACAAGAAATTCAAGCCGACATAAACGACATGCTGACTGCCCTAAAATCAACAACTTTAACACCTCCCACCGCTCAAACAAACGGCGACTACAGCTTAATGATGCGCCAACAAACTATACGCGACACATTGAAGCGAGAGAGAACTTTTCACCCTGGACACGACGTGAACCGATTCATCACGGCCCTAAACAAAGCATACACAATCCACGTCACGCCAGAACTCAGCACCTATCCTAGCCTGGAATGCGAATTCGTCAAGTCTGTTAAAGATTTACTGGACCAAAGTATCTTTCAACAGATGGTTAACTCAAAAAAAGACATATCCACCTTCCAACAACTGAAGGAATACTTATTAGCAGCCCACGGAAGCCAGATGACTAACTTCCAACACCTCAGTCAAGCCTGGGATCTGGAACGGCGAGACGGCGAAAAATTAACAGACTTCGCGGGTCGACTCGAAAACACCATTAGAGAGGCAGCCGTCCACATAAAAAACAAATACAAAAAAGACAAAAATACAGACTTAACAGTTGATGGACTTATTTCCATCATCGGCGCTATGCTAATGAGCGAAAAGTTCAAAATTTGGAACTCAAATCTTTACCAACATCTTATCAAGACAATGGACAAACACTATTCAGTCATTGGCATAGCCTTTGAAGCTCAAAGATACCTTGATCGCGGTGTAAAATCCAACGACACAACTTCGCACGACACTGTGTATTTCACACAGAAACCACAGCGGTCAAACCAAAGAAACGCGCCACTCCGACTCAGCAGGCAACCAAACCCACAGCAGACGGGCCTCACCAACCCTCCCGAACATGGCCACCATCCGACACGCAGAAAACATCAGCACACACCACGAATCAGCGTGTGCAAGAACTACCTCAGAGGTCGCCCCTGCCTCCACGGACGCAACTGCCTATATCACCACCCACCTCGCACTCGGGTACAGGCCCATATCGCCGCAACGAATGATAATATACAAGCCATAAATGATGTGGAACAGGATTTTCGCTTCGGGCAGGACGAGATGTGATGCCTCGTTCGCCATGCCCCTACGTCAGCCATCACACCTTCAACTTTCAAGGACTCGCTCACCATTCACCGCTCGTCCAGTCCACCTTCAACCTCAGGGACATCACCTTCTCTGGCGTCGCAATGCTAGACTGGATGCTCCACCTGCAGAACCAGAGAAGCCAAGAAACTCATGACCCGCTCCGACGTCGTAGTAAAAGGAATCAACGGCAGCACCACCGCCCTCGGCGAACTGACTTGCGACATCACCATCGGCAGTCGAGACTCACCTACATTCAAAAAGGTTAACGTGCTGGTAACTACCCAAACCACACCAATCCTGATCGACCAAAATATCATGTCACAACACGCTCGATTTCTATCTAATCGACAACCAAAATACGACTATAGAATTCAGACGCACACTTTCCTCAGGATACACGACACACACAGCCGCAATCATATCACCGTCATCGTCAACCAACGATCCCCAGCATATGGCGCCCAAGCTGACGTCATCCAAACCCAGCCTACTATGGAACTACAGCCCAACATCCAGACACTGGATCAAAAGCTAACCTGGCTAAAGCATAGCACGGGGTTATCGTTAACAAACCACCCGAACCGAGACGAACTAGAGGCCACTGCAAACTTACTCATTCGCTACGCTGACATTATCGGCACCGAAAGCAGCAGCAAAAGCACATTCATCCGACCCATCCGCATACCAACTAACGGCCAGTCTCGCAGCCAGAAACAACACCCGATCACCCAGGCTTTGGAAGCAGACGTTGATACCGAAATTAAGCGCATGGCCGATGAAGGTATCATTGAAAACTGCAGCGACCCCAAAAGGCTTCAATAGCCCTGTATTTGCCGTACGCAAGTAAAACGGATCGATTCGCGTCGTCGCTAACTTTAAAAGAACTCTCAACAATGTGTTAGTCGATCTTGACCCTTACCCAATGCCAAGGATCGACCACTTGTTCAACAAAATCGGCAAAGGCAAGGGATATTTCACTACCCTCGATCTACGCAGCGGCTACTGGCAAATTGAGATCGACAAGCGAGACCGATACAAAACAGCATTTACATGGAAGGACCAATGCTATCAATGCATGCGCCTGGCCTTCGGCCTTACAATCTGCCGGACAAATCTTCTCCCGTTGCTTAGCAGAAGCCCTAGCCACGGTCACATCCCGTGACAATATTTCTTCCTATATCGACGACAACCTGGTCCACGCTAGGACATTTAGGGAGTACATACTCTCCCTCGAACAATTTTTTACTGCCCTCCCAAAATTCGTGTGGATCAGACAATTCCTAGAGACACGTCTTCACGAACAAATCAGGTCAGATATGTTTTCAAAACTTATGGGTCCCATACACGAACTCAACAAGGTTAATAAACCGTTTGTCTGGACGCAAAATGCCGACAGAGCCTTCAAAAAAATCAAGGACCGTCTCTCTTCGCCACCCGTCATCTCGTTTCCGGATTTCTCCAAACTTTCCACACTCACCACCGACGCCAGTGACGTCGCATGTGGAGCAATCTTAATGCAAGAAGCCGACAACGGGAAGAAAGATATCAACGAGAGTTCCATAATGCCAAAATACGACGATGGCAAGAAGAAATTTCATGCTATAAATTCGTCTTAGAATATGTCGAAGGCGAATCAAATGTATGGGCTGACATGCTCAGCAGAGGTTGCGGACATAAGAAAACGAAGCCCCGAACGACCCTACACCGAGTTTAACACTTTACAGCTCATTCCCAAAACTCACACACCACAAAACGCCCGCACCCACAAGCGCGTCACCAACGCATTCTTCGCCTATCACTCCACCACCACCATCCCCACTAAGAGAATCTGCAACCACCTCGGCATCGCAAATGAACAACAGAAGGACGACGCCCTGGCAAAGATCATCAGCGCCTTCCAGTCACCCACTCCAAGCGAACCTCCTATCGATCCTGACGACCACCGAGCTACACTTTTCAAAAAACATTTGCACCAATTTTTTCTAGAACCAGGCACCCCCGTTTTGATGATAAGAGACAGTAAACACTCTCCGAGATTGGTTGTACCATACAAACTACGATCCAGATACCTCTACCAGGCACACGAGGGCAACAACCACTCAGGTGTTACCCGTATGCGAGAACTCCTTTCCAGCTACTGGTGGGAATTCAAAAACCGCGACATCAAGGCCTATGTCGATTCTTGCGACACGTGTGCTAAGTGCAAGGGCAACTACGGTAGACACGGTTTTCATTCACTGTCAATTTCGGAAAGGAAGTCAACTCCATTACATTATCGTCACTCGAATTACTAGAATTTTGGGGTGTATCGAAACTCCGAAGGTGGGTTTTGAATTCCAAAAGCGGTAACTCTCTACTGCTATGAATTACATAAACGGAAATTAAAGTTATTTCTGTTCTTATAATGTAGTCAGTAACACTCATGTTTTACGTGTGACGGAAAGGGACACACAACAAGTGTATGTCGAAATACTTACAGAGAAACATAGACATTGGTGCAACTGTTGTAAGAGCACATCCCATAAAAGGGACTGTTGTCGCTATAAAAGAAGAGACACCATTAAGAGCATAACAGATACAGAGAAAAGCTCATTTGCATTTAAAATAAATGATACCCACAAAAGACCGTAGGACTAATAATACTTTTACAGGGCGCTGTATATTCCTTACTAACCATAAGATATATTTTCTGTTAAGGATGCGACGACAAACAGAGCAACAGTATTTTTTAATGAAAATAAAAATGAACTGATACACAGGAGTGGTAGCAAATTTAAAATACACGTCCACAACAGATTTAATAATTAGAGAATAATACAGAAGACAGTTGCCAGGGTTGTTAGAATGTCCATACATGGTACAAAATACTTGGTCACTGCAACTACAACGATATGGCAAAATTACGAAATGTAGTCGAAGGGATGAGAATTAAAGGGAAAATTGGTACTCCTAACAAGGATTGTGAGATATGTACTGTGAACATTTTTCCAAAGTAGAAACAGATACCCTGACACACGTGCAATATTAGTTTTGGAACTGGCATACACAGACATAGCAGGCCATATGGAACAAATTGATATAAATGGATACAAATATGCCATAACATTTACGGATAATTTTTCCAGTGCAGTGTTTGTTTTGAAAGAGAAAAGTGATCTCCTCAATAGTTAAGTGATTACACAACAAGGTGCTTAAAATGGCAGTGAACAGGCATCAGTCAATATTGATTACTATTCTAGACCTGTATGTGGTGTGCCACAAACTTATAAAAAAGCAGAGAATTGACTGAAGGCACATTGTTGGATGAAGCAATGCGAGAGGTAATAGAATCCCTGAATGAGTATATTTTTGAACTTACCGGAAGGCAAAAAGGCAATAAGCGGTATTTGGGTTTACATTAATAGGATTCAGATCCTATATTGTTCTTAAAACTTCAAAAATTAAACAAAACATATGCTCCAAATTAAATTACATACTAACGTAATTTGATTGATTTAAAAATATCACATGGCATGTCATTGACTACGTCCACACGTCTGACTTTAATTTTACCTGATCGAATGTACAGTTGCGCCAAACTTTTTAAAACATTTTCTGGGGCCTATCACGTGACTTATATTTCTTATATAAACAGAAAACAATTAAGAGACAGAATGTGGGGAAAATCAGCCGAAAACGCTATACGCTGCCTGACGATATAAATAACTTTTAACTGATTATAAGTTAAAAATCCTTTTTAACATAACCACAGTCTATTTCCTTCATTCAATGCAAACTAAACTCACGTCGGCAAACAATAAATCGACAGACACTCAAACGTCAAACACAACGTAAGTCACACTCGCACACACTTTTCCCACAAACTTTGAACTTGTGGAGGTCACTAGGACCTGACGTATTTATATTAACGTAAAATACCAGAAAATATGAAACAATAAGAAGAAACATTCAACAAGAAAATGGCATAAGCAAATGGAATTTATATGCTTAACAACAATTGTACAGACAGTAATTCAATTGTATTTGAAATGCTGAAATTTACTTGTACTTGGAATTTTGAGTGAGGAAAATGTTCCTGTTGATAAACTGTGATGTGTACTGTTACTTGTAAGAGAATTAAAACGTTTGATTCTCACGATATTAAGTGTTTCTGTAGTTGAAAGTTCAATGTTTAAATATAGCAGGAGTTATTTAGCTTTAACTGCTAAATTGTTTTGCTTAAGGCTTTCAAAGAAACTTGTTGAGTGAAAAAATTGTCTTTGCTTGAAAATCGAGAAGTAGTATTTGGTACTAAAAATGTAGTTTTTTTTAGTTTAACACTTGTTCTGCTCGTACGTGTGTGCGTGTGTGTGTGAGAGAGAGAGAGAGAGAGAGAGAGAGAGAGAGAGAGAGAGAGAGAGAAAGAGAGATGACATTTCATAGCGTTTTCACCAAAAGAGAAAAAAGCAATTTCTCCACAAAGCTAGTAGGTGAGAGAAAACAAGAGGTAAAGTTGAAGATGTATCCAAGTATTTATAAGTAATGTGAATCACGTGATAGGCTCATGAACACAGATTTTGGCAGTATATTGACTTCTAATACTTGTGCGTAGGCGTTGTAATGTTTTTCACATATATTAGCCAATCAGAAGTCGGAGAATTATTCAAGGCCTCTGTGATCAACTTTGGTATTTAGTTTGCACAACATTGCCGTCGAAAGAAACTATTACATAATACAATGAAGTGGTAGCTGAATGCTAAAAACTGTCTATTTTGAATACAAACAATATTACATTGAACTGAATGTTTTCGAATTCACACAAATTACACTACAAGTTACAGTCTAACAAACTGGAACATTATCTCAGTTATGTGCCATGCGTGATACACGCTTAGGCATACATGACTGACGAGGCAGTTTTTTTCCCGAAGTAGGTTGCCATTTCCTTCTGCAGTAGACCAGTTGCCATCCAAGGCTATAGAACATGGTCTGTCCTTCTATTTATCCCATAGCTGGGGGAGAAGAAGAGGATTCAGACCTTTCCCAAGGATGATAGCATGTAAGTGAATGTAAGGGATTCGGCTCTCCGACATTTGTTATATAAAAATCTATTTGTTTGTACAATATGTCTAGTCTGAATTTTCCTGTTTCTTCTTGTTGAATATGTTATACAGTTTGACAGACAAGAAGAAGGAGGAAAACCTTAGTGGAGTCTAGGTGAGACGTTTGACCTGTAAGAAAAAGACTAAAACATGACAGAAAAGATAAATACTCGTGTGTTGTTGCTAGCTGCATCTTTATTTTTTGTTTCCTTTTCTGAAATTGTTGCCCGGTAACTCCCGTTACGCCAAGGGAATTAATTATATAAACGTTGTTTATGGAGTTAAAGGGAGCTAACTATGGAAACAGTGACTGCTTAATATCTGTATACAATACAACACCCCTCGCGCCTCCAGAGTCCTTTGTTTTTCAAATGTGTTTTGGTTTGAACTTAAGCTGTGTATTCAAACATCCAACGAGGTAGGTGAACTGTTCTTTCAACACGAATTCGGACTGTTTAATCAGTTACAGCTGGTTGATGTTTCTGGGACCTCTGGAGTTGAACTGTTTGCTTGTTCCTGTAGGGGAAATTCTGACCTCCTGTGATTGCAAGATGGCTAACAAATTTCGTCTGTTGCGACGGAGTTTTCGGACATTCTCCGTTAAGATATGACCTAAGTTGATCACATCGCTTGATAACTTTACTCCTTCTTGACTAAGAATGCGGTCGCCGATATTCAAGGGGAAGAGTTCACAATGCTTTGGATTTGTTTGCTTTCGGACCTTGTCCCAGTATGTGGGTTTTGTGACCTTAGGTAGCAATGCCCATTTAATCAATTTTGATGCTGTTGAAGGAGTGTTTTCTTTGCCTGGCGCCGTGCCTAGACTTAGCAATGCTAGGAATTTGTCATCCCTTGTTTATTTGTCTTTTAACACGGCCCTTTTTACGGTCTGTATGCTTCGTTCTACCATGCCATTTGATTGTGCAAATTCTGGGGTACTGATGTTATGTTAGAAATTCCAGTTTTCTGAATTCTAGCGAGATGAATTCTAGACCATTGTCAGAGAAAACTTGTTTTGGAATTCCATGTCTTGCAAATATTTTTTCATGTGTTTTATCACTGTTGGCGAAGTGTTGCCGAGGAGTTTGCTGATCTCAAAGTATTTGGGGTAGTAATCCACAACAATCAATTTATTTCTATGTACCTTGAACAGGCCCATACAAACTTTTGTCCAAGGTTTGTCAGGGATTTCATGGTTAATGAGCGGCTTATGTTTTTTTGAGTTCTTGGTATGCATCACAGTTTGATTGATTGTCTGGTCTAAGATTTTGTTTTTTCAATTTCCAGATGGCCCTTTTGCATTATTCTGCGCATTTCTAGCCGAAGTGTTGAGGGTACGATAATCTGTTGACCCTTGAGAAAGAGCGTAACTTGATTTGTAACCTATGAATTAATATTGGTGGTATGGCCTGAGACTGAGGTTATGGTTGTAGCGATGTTCTGGTCAACCTGCAGAGATCCGATATCGTACTTTTTAGTGTGTCATATTTTGCTGCTTCAGTCACCAGTTTCTGGAAACTCTTTTCACTGAATGGGAGTGTGGCATCACAAAGTGGGAAAAGTAACTGATTTCTTTGTCGGAGATTTCAGGGATGTAACTTTGATTATTGTGCTCGATGAAACGTTGTCCATATACATACTCATGAAAGTCAAACAAAATTTGACAAGTATTTCTAGTTTTAGAGGACAGTAGTTTGCTTCTCCCGATATCAAGGATATGTTACCATTAGCTACTGGATGCCACTTTTCGTCGTGCAGCTGTTCCAGCAGGGCTCCGAATCCTTGGGTGGATGCATCTGATTATACTTTAGAAGTTTGGAGTTGAACTTCTTTAATGTTGGGCTCTGAGTAATCACTGCCTTAAGGTATAGAAGTGCACCCCTTTGGGGCTTGTCAAAAGACCAAATAGTGCCTTTCTCGAGAAGACGTAGGGGTGGCATTTTGGCTAAGAGGTTTGAGAAAAATTTCCCCAGGTATGTGATCATAAAAAGCGATATGGTTCTTTCTTGTTGATTGGTTCAGGCCTTTATTTTTCTGGCATCTGGTGCTATTCACTTGTTGGATATTGTGTGTCCCAGAAATGTCAATTCAGTCAAGTTGAATTGACATTTTAATTGATTCAATTTTAGTCCTGATTGATGGCCTGTAGAATTGTTCTGCTTTCGAGCAGCCCAGGTGTGTCTACCCAGATGATAATATCATCCTGTGCATTCCGACATCCTTCTATAGGTTCAGTGATTATGGCAATACGAGGTTGACACACCTCACTGGCACTGTGAATACCATATGGAATGCGTAGGTATCTGAAATAGGAAGAATTGAAGTTGAGGATTTTAATTTGCTAGAAGGCATTTGAGGCATCCAGCTTGAAGTATTGTGCTCCTGCCATTTCCTGAAATATATCAGTTGCTGTTGGTAGGCGTTAAATTTTCCATTTTTATTTCTGTGATTAGATTTCGAGGGTCCAAACATACTCGTAGGGTTCCATTGGACTTTTTTACCACTACTAGAGAGGAGAGCCGCCGTCTGTTGGTTCAGTTACAGGAACAATTATGCCTAGGTGATTCATTCGTTGCAACTCCTGTTTTAATTTCTGTTTTAGATCAAATGATACTTTACGTGGTGGGTTTATAATGGGTGTTACCTTTGGGTCCAATGTTATGTGAGGATACCCTGGGAATGTCTCTAGTCCCCCAAAACATTCTTTAAATTTTGAGAGGGGAGCAGGTTCCCTTTTTGATATACTGAGGACTCTTTGCACGAGCTCTATATCAGCACTGGTTTTTAATCCGTGGATTGGAGAAACATCGGTGTCTGCTACAATCAATGAGACATTGTATGTCCTGTTTGTGTGTGGGATTTGTACCACACATTTTCCTAGTACTGGGATGGAGGTATCATTGTAGGCTATTAACTTTATGTGGGTATGCTTTAGTCCAGATTTATTTTCAGTCAATTGGTTGGAAAGGATATTTACTTGACTACCTGAGTCAATTTTGAATTTTAGCCTTGTGCCATTCACTGCTAACGTAACCAGACAGTCTTCTGAAGTCTTTCGTTTGTATGTTGGTGACAGTGTCTTGGTCGTGATGTTGACGACATCCTCTGATACAGGTAAGTCAGAGTCATTCAGCATGACTTTCTGAACATATTTGTTTGAGGAGCACTTGTTAGCGAAGCGGTTACGCTTTTTGTAGGCGTTGCAGACTTGGTTGTATGCGAGACAATTTCATTGAAAGTGAGAGCACGAGTAAAGTTTGCACTCTGTTATTTTTTCGCTGTGGGAGCTGGGAGTTCTGCTTTTAGTGAAAGAGAGTTTCTTTTTTGCTGGCTGGTAGCTGCTTTTTAACTTTTTGTGAAATTTAATTCCTTAGACTCTCTTTGAAGAAGTCCTATTCGCCATCTTGTTGCCTTAGCAGTTTGTCCTGCCTTTATTGCAACTTCCAAGGTTAAGCCTGATTCTGATAAGAGCTTTCTTAAAGACAGAGATCGTTTGTCCTGATGATTATCATGTCCTTGTTGAGGCTGTCTCTTAATTCGTTGAGTTCAGAGTTGTGATTCTGCATTTTTAGTCTGTTTATGAAGTCGTCAAATATTTCAGCTTCGTCTTGACGAGAAGTGAGGAATTTGTACCACGCTAATGTTAAATTTTTCCGAGGATTGCAGTATTTCTCGAATTTTCTCATGACCATGTCGTAGACCATTTCATCATACTCCGAAGAAAATTTGAAGTTGTTATAAATTTGGCGGCCTTGTTTTCTTATACACGTAGGCAAAATGCTGGTTTTGACGTCGTCAGATTTTTTGAGTTTTTCTGTAGCTATTAAGTAGAATTTCCTCTCTTGTCTAAAAACTTTCCAGTTTTCGGAAATATTTCCGTTAAAAAAATCTAAAGGTCCCCGGAAATTAAATTGTGTAGCTATGTTATCGCTCGTACGATTGCTTACTATTAAAACGTGACTGAGTGATAGGTTGGCGTTCAAAGTATATAGTTATAATTCTGACACTATGTTATACAGTTTGACAGACAAGAACTAGAAAAGGCTTACCGGGGGAAATTTAAACTTTGTGAAAGAGACTAAAACATACGGCAGAATAGATAACAAATACTCGTGTGTTGCTAGTTACATCTTCATTTTTTGTTTCCTTTTCCGGAAGTGTGGTCCAGTAGGACTCTTTACTCTAAAGGAGTTAATTATATAAACATTATTTATGGAATTAAAGGTAGCTAACTCTGCAAACAATGACTGCTTAATATATGCATACAGTATACATATACAACAGAATACATGACTTTGGCAAAAACTACACAAGAGAGCCAATTCAGTTATTAAATGGAATGGACACCCATTATAGGTATGAACCAGTAAAAATATTTGGTGACACTCAAAGTGCAATTACACTCTCTAAAGACCCTGTACACCGAAATGTTAACATTAATACAGACATTATCTATTGTGCGACCACAGATAAGGTTGCGGATGTGATAAACAAACCAGTAACAAAAGCAAAATTGGAAAAGTTCAAGAGACTTTTGTTTGGACTTTAAGCCTTTCTATGTTGTGATGTTGTTGGGATTGCTATGACCTTGAATTTGTTATCAGAAGGTTTTTATATGATAGTCCGCAGAGGACTTCGTCAATGAACCTTTGAAACGACTGAGCTGCGTTGCGCAAACCGAATGGCATTCTGATAAATTCATATAAGCCAAAGAGAGTTGTTACTGCTGTCTTTGGAATATCTGCCTTCTCGATAGGAATTTGGTAAAATGCCTTCCGTAGGTCCAGCTTGGTGAAAACTGTGGTGCCTTCTAGTGATAGGGCAAAATCTTTAATGTGGGGGATTGGATATTTATCCGGGATGGTTTGGGCGTTTAGTAGCCTGTAATCCCCGCACGGACGCCAGCTGTGAGCATCGGCCTTTGGGACCATGTGGGGCGGTGTAGCCTAAGGACTGGAGGATGGTCTGATTATCCCCAGCTTGAGCATACTGTCAATGTCGTCCTTCGCTACAGGCAACTTGTTAGTATGTAGACGACGCGGTTGAGCATGAACTGGTGGTCCAGTAGTCTTTATGGTATGAGGGGCATTATGTCTGATAGGCTCGGCATACGTAAAAGGCCATAACAACGATTTGTATTTCTGTAGTAATTTTTCGTAGCCATTCGCTTTAGGTACTACAGTTGTTAAACCAATAGTATGATGCCTTGATATAAATCCGCGGCGTTGTAGACGCGCGTCAGTGGGCGTACGCGAAGATAGATCAACAGAAAGGTCAAAATGTGCTAAGAAATCCGCGCCTAAGATTGGCATTTCAACATCGGCGACTGTAAAGGCCCAAACAAATTCTCGTCGCAGTCCGATGTTGAGTGACATTATTCGCTCACCGTATGTTCTAATTGATGTGCCGTTAGCGGCCTGTAATTTCAATAGAGCCCCCTTGGGTGATAACGTTGACTTATCGCAATTTTTGAACGGTACGACGCTGATTTGTGCACCGGTGTCGACTAAAAAAATCAAGTTTGCTATTCCGGTCACGAATGTAGAAAAGATGATTTCTATTGTCAACCCTGGCAGCCAACGCCTCTAATGGTTGCCAGGCAGGCCATTTCCCTGTATGTCTGTTGGGAATATGTTTCGGAAAGCACATGGCGGCTGACACTTCCTAGTGCGCGCCAAACACCTCATGGTACCTCGGGCGACGCGACGCTGAACGCGGCCTACGGTTATGGTGCCGGGCAATTGAATTGCTCCGACTTCTGGTAAGCCTATTTTGAATTTCGTCAAGCCGGAGAGAGAGCTTCTGTAATTCTGATGTCAGAAGTTGTAATCTCTGATTGAAATCCGGAGTAAGGTCGTCTGACTGGCTTATGGAGGAGACTTGCCGAGTTGGTGTGGTGTCTGATATCTTGTCGGCAATCGTTGCTAACTTTTGTATGTCAACCTCATCTGTGAGCGCGGCTAATATTCGCACAGCGTCAGGTTGTAGTTTGTCGAGCCACATTTGCTTAAGGACAGTGTCGGGTCGTAAATGGTATTTCTGCCAACTAAATATTGCATTCGACGCAAGAGTTGGGACGGTTTGCTAGTCCCTAAAGTTAAGTTAGAAGGTCCTTAATTTTACGCTCCTCAGAGCAACCTGTGCGGTGTAATATGGCTTGCCTGAGTACTTCGTAAGGTTTGTCAGTCGGGAAGCTTGTGAGAATATCTGCTACTTCTGCAGCCACCTCTGCAGGTAACTTTTCCACAACGAAGGTAAACTTTGACTGCTGTGATGTGATATGGCGGGCTTGAAATATCGCACCGAGCTGTATGAAACACGTTTGAGCGTTTGAATTGTATGCAGGCATTTCTAGTTTTACTGCAGCCATGTTGAATTACTTAATTTTTTTGGAGGGAAAACGAAAATTTTTTCGCGCCTTTTCTGTTTTCTCTTTCACAGTCGGAGTAGACTTGAAAGTTGGTAATCACTAATTACGTTGATGTAGATGTAAACGTTGGTAGTCAGCAAATTTTGTTTGCTGTTAACATCTGGGTTATTAATCTTGTTGCGATAAACGTCGGAATTATCAATTTGTAGGTGCTGTTAAATTGAACGACGGGGTCATCAATTTTGTTGTTGTTATAAACGTTGGTATCACCAATTTTTTTTTTATTGGAAACGTTGTGGTCACCAATCTTTTTGTTGCTATAAACGTCGGGGTCATTTTTGTTGGTCGTGAACACCGAACGTCAGGATCATCAATTTTGTTGGGAATGCTATGAGTTTAAATTTGTTATCAGAAGGTTTTTATATTAAGATGGTCAGGTTACGGGCATGTTCATCATATTAATCCACAACAATATAGAATATAGACATTAAAAAACGAATCAATTACAAGGCAATTGAGTAAGAAACACCGATTATGAGATTTCAATAAAACAACATGCATTTATGTACAATTAATATACAATTTGAAAACTTGTAGTTTGATAATGCAAGAAATTGACCATTGGTAAATTGGATTTCTTATTGTTTTACAGTTCAAAATTGTTCAAGTGTTTAAGAACTGGTCAAACAGAGTTAAGTGGAAAATATTATTTATACAGAAATTTGTGTAGTTTGTATGCGTGAATAAAGTAGGAGTTTAATTGTCTAAATTCTCCAGAGTTGTTTACCTTGGATTGTTTAGATATTTGATTGAATATTTATGAATACTTGTTAGTAGAGAGTTATTATTGCTTTTTAGTATTGTAAGAAATTGTTCCTGGTAGAGAGAAATGCTGCATGTGTTGAGTCAGAGAAATTTGGTCGGCAAAAATGTAGCTGGTTATGATTTTGACTGGCACGGATTCGTTTGGCACTTCTCCAGGATACTGCGACACCACATTGCTATAAACAGAACTGGCCTCAAGGACAATGAACTTTCCACGCAGCATGCGAATCATGAGGCCTTCAACAAACCTGCACAACGGCACTACCGTCCTGCAGTGAAAGAAGGCGTGACCAATGGTCTCGACTTCCCCAAAACAGCGACGGCAGTTTAGATATTTCTCCAGGCCAGCTGAGCAAAGTCTTTTGGCGACCCAGAGGGCCCCACGAATCACCAGCCAGGTGAGTGATGCCTCATCGTTATTGAGGCAGTTCAAACCAGGCGCCCAAGGCCATATTGAGCGAGATTCCTGCTTCGTAAGACCGAGCCCGTCAATTAGATCATCCTGAACGGCCTCCTGACTAACAGTTGATACAATACCCTACGAGACAACACCCGGGCGTTGGAGAGGCCATCCCACGCTCGTAAGAGGTGTTTCAGAGCACGACGACATTCGCGGTAGGAGCATTCGGCTCGGGGTGTACGGCCGGCCTCCTCCTTGCACGACTGCACACTTCTCAGGGATGGGAGGTTTCTACGGACGTCTTCCTTCCAGAAGGCGCCCTCCTCATCCGATTTACGACACATTCGGTCTAGAAAGGCGATGCGAAGCATATATTGACGAATCTCAATGCTAGGCATGCCCAGACCGCCCTCAGAGGGATGGAGGCAACAGATCTCGCGAGATACCATACTCTGAGCCAATCAGACTAGACAGGACAAGCTGCAAACAGTTGGCTAAGATATTCGCCAAATTCTTTAACTCAGTGTATAACATGGTTAAAGGGTGAAAGTTATCTAAGCCATTCCCACCGTTCTTGTCCTTACGCAGCAACTTGATCACACCCCTGGTGAAGCGTTGATGTATAGACCCCTGCTTCATCCAGTGGTTGAAAATCAGTTCCAGCAAAGGAACAAAAACGGGCGACTGCCTCAATTAAACTTCGTAGGGAAGACCATCTAGTCCCGGAGATTTATCCAGGCCAACCTATTTCAGCGCTTCCCAGATTTCCGATTCTGTGATGGGACCCTCGCACCTAGCCGCTTCAGCTGCTTCGAGGCAGGGAAAGTCGGCTAAATAGGCGTTGAACTGAGCAGGGCTCAGACCGGGCTCCCTGGTGAAAAGATCGTGAAAGTAATCCCGAAAGGCCTCTCATATGCCCGCGTTTGTAGTCACGGTCCGCTTTTCCGGCAATGTGACGGACACGATATGCCGCCGAGACGCACTCCGATTTTCCTCTGCACGCAATTCAGCAGCCATATTCGTCGCCTCAGAGGACATTCTTTTTAACCTAGCCCTAACTACCAGAGCTTGATCCTTCTTGATAAGCAAGGAGGAAAACTCTGCCTTAGCTAAGGCTATTTCCCCACTATCACGGGATTTCACAGCCCGATCAACTCTTTGTTCTAAAGCCGTTTGCGCCGCTAATCTATCTAGATTGAGTCGACGACTAAAATCGGCAGCAAACGTTCTACTTTTGGATTTTAATTTACCCCACCAGGCATTCCCTACAACCGCCCCCGTCAATTCCCTCTGTATCATTAGTAGCAGCTGGTCCCGGAAATCCTGCTCATCAAATAATGAACAGTTTAATTTCCAGTAACCAGCCAATCTAACCTTAGGCGTATCTAAGTTTATGCGGACCCGGACAAGCCTATGGTCCGAATAAACTATCTAATGGAAGCTTGGACACCCTGAGAGCCCTACATCGACTTTCCTAACTAAGACTCGGTCGAGGTAGCTAGCAAGCGTCCCAGGAACCGAGTTGCAACTATTTGTCCAAGTCCATGGTACCTCCCGAGGGTGCTCATTCCGGTACTTATCGATGAGATCAAACTCATCGATAAAGCTCCGAAATGATTTCACGTCCCGGTTGTTAGTACCCGGATTAGGTATGAACTAAAATGGGGACCTTCCCTGCACAAAATTGTTTCAAATGATTTAATTGTTGATTTTCGACAATAGCAATCGGCAAAGCCATCTTATAAGACTTGATGGCCTCGTCAATCTTTGCCCAAATCTGTTTCGCCACCAGTTTCCGTTCTGATTACAGTTAGTACCCTTTGGGCAAGCGGGAAGTTTTGCGGCACTTCAACATTCCATATCTGCATATTGCCTTATCGATAGCAAGTAATTTAAGTCTTTAATGCTATTGCCATAATCGCGGGCTCTCTCAGCCTGAGCAGGGGAAATGTGGCAGACATCCTCCTTTCTTTGCGCTCCTGTGCGGAAGGAGGCATTTCTGCTTTTTTAACGGGGGAAGGACTGGGAGTATACAGAGGGGTGTAGGGGGATCTTTGTTTAACAGGGGAAGGGCTGGGAGTATGAAGGGGGGTGTAGAAAGTTCTATGTTTATAAGGGCTGGGATCTCTTCTGGGAGGACGGTGTTGTCAGAAGGGAAGTTTTCTTCTTGGGTGAATGTGTGGACTGGGCAGAGGACGTGGAAGTAATAGGATTTGGGGGTTGAGTCGGTTTTTGTTTGTCCAGTTTCTTTTTTTAGATCCTTTATTTTCTCCGATTTCTTGTACCCAGGATCATATTTTCTTTGTTGTTCTTGGAAAGATTGTTGAGAGGCCGGG